ATTCCTCAAAGGCATTTTGTATGCATTTTGCCTCTCGGGTATTGAATTTTTTTCCCGTCAAAAGTTATCCAAAATCTGGAAAAAGTAGAAGTCTGTAGGCACTAGGTCTGGTGAATACGGCGGATGACGGAGAGGTTCCAACCCCAGCTCTTGTAACTTGGAGACCGTCTGTTGTGCAGTATGAGGTTGCGCGTTGTCGTGCAGGAGCAGCGGGAAAGAGTGATTGACCATAGCTGGTTGAAGACGTACGAGCTTCTCCATCATTTTGTTCAGTTCTTCACAGTACACATCTGCAGTAATGCTCATCCCGTTTGGTAAGAAGCTGTGATTAATCACACCAGCGTTAGACCACAAAACAGTGACGATCACTTTTCTAGGGGCAAGTTTTTGTTTAGGGCACTGTTTAGGTGCTGAACCAGGATCCAACTAATTTGCTTGTCAAACAAAATTCATTTTTCATCGCAGGTAACAACGCGGTTCAAAATTCCTTCGTTTGTGTGCCTGCTGAGCAGTGCAAGGTACGTCTCGACGCGTATTACGTGCTAGCGATCACTGAGTTCATGGGGCACCCATTTGTTGAGCTTTTTTACCTTGCTAATTAGACGCAAATGAACCAATATTATTTTGATGCTAACGTCGGAAGCTGCTGCGAATTCAGCAGTAGATTGAATGTCATCATGTTTCACAATCGCCTTTTATTCGTTATTGTCGACCAAAGTTTTCGGACAAAAACGGGGTTCATTTTAAATTTTATTCGAAATTTTTCGAAAATTCGAAACAAGTCGGAAGCAGGCAAACCTATAACAGGGGGTGCGTTCGTTTGTAGTAAACGTTGTTGATGTTGCGTGCCGCTTGCGCCGCGCCACGACGGTACTCATATTCTATAATTACTCGAAGTTGAAGTTCGTCGTTCATAGCAAAAATAGAAATAACGCGAAAAGATTTTAGGGCGACCTCAAGATTGTCCTGCTCGTCTTCAAAATACTTTTGGGAAGGAAATACCTCATTTGAGCATCGTAAGGCGTTGGTACGCAGAATTTGACTGTGGCGGAGTTTCTCCCCATGATGAAAATTTTGTTGCTGCTGGATTCCTCATGACCTCACTCCAGAGCAAAAACGGGCTAGTGTTGATTGGTGTAAAAAAAATGTTAAAGTATGATCATGGATGTTCAAATGCTACGCATGACATTGTGACAGGAATTGAAACATGGATATATTGTGACAATCCGGAAAGAAAGCAGCAGTCTTCTGCATAGGTGTTCAAAGACGACAGCAGTTAATGCTGAGTACATCACCATTTGTTTGCCCAGTGTCTTTGAAAAGGTTAGGGAAAAACGTCCAAGAAATAGCATCCTATTGCAAGACAATGCTTCGGCGCTCACCGAGAACAAGAAGGTATCTTCGAAACGGCTATAACGATTTGCATAAAATTTTATAATAAGATAATGTTTTACTTTCCAAGTATATATAGGTGTCATCCCTGAAATATATACAGGAAAATTTTGGTCGCCCAGGTACTTAGGTTGAACACAGTATTCCACAGTTCTTAAGTAGAGACAAGCACCATTTTCACTTTTTAATATTTTTTCTTTTTTCTTTTGTGAGTTCTGTTAGTTTTACAGCGTGGCTAGTGCTGCATTATCACGTATGTATCGATTCAACTGGGGAAGGAAAGATCTCGCACAGAATATATCTATTCATTCCTTCTATTCATTCATTCACCTACGGAACGATATGCGTTAGTGGACTCCCTTACGTCGTCACCACACGGCGCCTTGCCGGTTTCGTTTCGTCAGTACGAGATCTACAGACTCTTTTTACTGTTAACGCGGCATTCTATATTCGTTTTCTCTCAATCAAGTATTGATTTAGGTGCCTATGCGTTACAAAATCCACCTACTATTAGGTGAACTGTGTGCTAGTTTTTCACCCTCACTTAAAAATAAAAATAATTTATACTAAGGCTATTACCTAGTTACTAAAAAAGAACTAATTTGATGCGTGATCACTGAAAGTATGAAGTTAATATCTTCTTCTTCTTCTTTCTATATCAACTCATAGCAGTTCTCTGTTGAACTTAGGCCTCCGTCACAGTAGGACTGATTTCTAATCAGGCAGATTTTTAATTTTTTAAAATTTTTAAAAAATTATAATCCAAGACTTTGCACCTTCGACGCTGCACGCGGACACCAATCTGGATATTTTCCGTACACAGACCCTAGTATGTCTTTATCTTTCGGAGACCATGAGGTATTTCTATAGTCGCCTCCTTACCTCGCACGCACGGGAAGAAAATGAGTGATGAATTCTCCTTAACCGTTTTAGGTCTGGTACGTTTAAGATTGTTGAATTGTATGAAGTATGTTTAAGATTGCTAAATTTTTTTTACATAAATAGGTAGTTTTTTTATTATTTAAATTTAATTAAAATGAGGGTTATAAGCTGTCAAAAGTATAAAGTGAAAAATTGGTCAAGCAAGTTTCAAAATCAATTGCTAAATTTTTTTTAAGCCGCGTGTAACAACTGTGGTGTAACGTGACCAATATTATTTAGACGCGTGAAAGGCTGAATAATCGCTTCGCTTTCGCTATCAGTGGATGTACATTGGCTAGAAGTCTTATATTCAAAAACTGTCAAATAGACTTTTGAAAGTCTTCACTATTCAAAATGTTCTATTTATTTGATTAAAGTAACAATGCATCAAGGCTGATTTACACGGGGACAATAACAGGCGCGAATGCTGGCCCCGACGAATGACGGTGAACTGTTTACACGCAGTCAATAGTCGCGCAGACAGTGCTGTACTGACTTCAAATCAATTTACATTATGTCAGCGGGTCTGGTCAGCACTGACTTGCCTCGAGTTTGGAGCCAGTTACTGTCCCTGTGTAAATCAGCCATTACGCTTTTCGTGTTACGAAAGCTCTGTCAGTGTTTTGAAGCCGATGCAAATTTCATATGTATTAATTTTTTTTACTATTCTAAGCCAGTGCTATACTTATATCTGTCGCACAAGTAAGCATATCTAACCCTTCTTTTCCGACAAGGCTTTTGGAGCAGGGAATGAAGCCACCGATGGATGTTTGTCAACAAAGTTTATTTTTAACTTTGTCATGGATGACGTAAACCGACACAGTTTTCAGTGGGAGTCAAATTTGGGTTGCTCGATTGCTCTGATTGGATGGATGGTTTGTTATAGACACTGTGGCCGTTTTACTGCTTCTATTCATGCAATTTATTCATTACAGTTATTATATTACTTTTATATACCCACTGCTGAATATATACCCTCCCCATATATTGCCTGATACGAGAGATACTTGCCATAGCTGCCACGCTTGGTACTAAAAACTGGAAACCAGGCGGGTTGACAATCGCAGTTTGTATTATTATCGAGTCATTTTTAGAAATATGCTTGCCCGTCTCCTGGTTCAGTTTCTCTCTGTCACCTTTGACAACACCTACGGGATGATATATGGTAGTGGATTGTCTTACGCCACCACTACACGACTGCTTTTAATGATTTTTTTTTATAGGATAAGGGTGACAAACGAGCACACAGTCCACCAGTACGTGGTAGAGCCATGCATACGTGGTAGAGCCATGCTGCAGCTATATTCGTAGTATAATTGTAGCATGAATGGGTCGGCTCGACCGGGGAAGGACCACGCTCTCACAGAAAACCAGCGTAAAATAGCAGCTTAACGCTGCTGTGTTTCGTATGGTGAGTGTAGAGAAACGGAGACCCTTTTTACTGGCAAAGAAGCATTTCATCTTAGTCTTCACGGGTGACAACGCATCTGCATCTTGAGTCTTTATTGAAGATAGATGTAGATGTCTATGGGTCACAGTTACCACTTACCATCAGGTGGACTGTGTGCTCGTTTGTCACCCTATCCTATAAAAAAACCTGATAGTAAGTGGTTGCTGTGGCCTATAGACATCTGCATCTATCCTCGATTACGAATCAAAATGCAGATGCGTTGTTTATTTATTTCTGAGTAAGTTCATAAATATTTTGTTTGTAGACATGAAAAAAATAGAGTTATGTAAAGAACATAAATTATTCACGATTCAACTCCTATTTTTCTGGCTCTAGTACTCGTGCCCTAGATGCGAGGCATCTGATACGTCAACCCGCTTGTCATGCGTGACGACGTAGCAAATCTTCCCAGATAGGAGACCCATGTTTAGCATTGGACTTCTACCGGTTAATCAAAAAGAAAAGGTGCGGTTAAATGTGTGTTTCGTGGTTACCTAAGTTATTTAATAGCTACAATCAGGCATGAATGAGGTTACATTGTTCACTATCTTGTACTTTTATCAGTTACGGACTCGGAAGTGCTTAATCGGCCCACGTTTGATCTTACACGTAATTTTTTTTATAGTTTCAATTGTACCTAAACCTTGCTATAGCCCAGCGATTTGAATCAGGAAACGATCACTTTATTTCTTACAATGTTTTTTTATGAAAAGGGCAACTTTTATTTTTTAGTGACTGAAACACATTCTTTTAATGTTACTCGTAGCAAATTCCGTGTCATATAGGTCTTATCCGAGGTCGTAACATACACACATTTACTAATATATAAATTGGCCAATATGGTTATCGTCCATGAACCAATAACGGCACGATTGATATTGTAGATTGAATTAAAAAGATATATTTTAAGGTTTTTAGGTAAAAGTAAACAAGTATGTTATTACAGACTAGCAATACTGTATATCTAATATCTAGAGTGTCTTCGTCTTATTAGAAAAGGGGTTTATTGGTAGCCTCACGTTTATATTTTTAAGAAGAATCTCACGAAAGAAGGTCCTTAGTGGCGGCGCTACTACCTTTGCGAATGTTAACATTTGCTGTAAAAATCCATACTTTACATTTTTGTTCGCCTATTCCCGCGGGACTTTTTTCGTGAAACAGATTCTGTTATTATAGTCTATTATTATAGTATTAAAAAACAAGGCCTTCTATTCTGTGTATTAAAAATTAAACTCACCTGAAAAACTAAAATCAGTTGTTCTTCTGTTCCTCGTTTTTCTTCCGCTTTTCTCACGTGTGAAAATATTGGCAGCAATGGCGCAAGTAGCACAAACAATCACGGGAATTTATGTACCTATTGAGATCTGTTACTTAACGTAAGTAGTATAATTTGTAACCACTATAAGTTTAAGAGAATATCGATGGTAGGCACACTTTGAATGGAAATGTACCTTAAGCAGAATCACGTAATTTCGGAACGCTTCCGAACGTTGTAAGATATCCCAACAGGTTAATGCGCGTGCGCGTGCGCGGTGCGGGAAAGTTCTTCGAGTACTGTCATGCACGTTGATACGGGCTTCGCCGGCGAAGCTGCTGCCATTGTCAGACTGTGAGTCTGTGAATAATTTGTTACTTTCATTTAGGTTTTAATTTAGTTTCTCACAAAATCTTATTTTATTATTCGGGGGCCTTCAAGGTATTTTAATTAAATGAACAATGCAAAATACAGGGATGTAATAAAGAATTGGAGGTCAATATAATATATTACTAATTGTATTATGAACTTGCGTCAAAAACCTTCGTATATTACATAGGTACTTAGATACATAAACTCCCACGCCTGTCACCCAGAGAGATAGGAGACACTACGGACTTCCATTTAGCACGATCTTGACACATCTTTTCCGTTTCTTTCACATCCATTTGTCTACGCACGTACATGCTTGTCGGTTGAGTACTATTAATTTGGCCCATCTTCAAGATATCGCCTATTTCGTCGATAAACTTAAGTCTAGTAGAGTGGCCTTTGCCGACCTCGCCACTCACTTCGACAGCATTTTCTCTTTCTCTTATCACATTAATCTTTAAAATTAATAATACATAGTAGGTATGTATACGTACTAGATATTATCTATAAGGTACCTAGTACGTTTTTAATAGCTCAGTAGGTACCTACTAATACGCATGCTTGTTATTAGAATAAAGTATTTAAGATATTTCTAATTTGGAAAAATAATACTTAAGTAATCTTTAACTATACTTTGCTACAGTTGTTCTTTCGAATACTTCACACACAAAAATCTTATATAATGCTTGCAAGATCACGACAATTCTGTGGTGGAGGTGGTGTAAGAAATTTCGGATCAAAGATAGTGATCTTGTCCCGTATGTGTTGTAATGAAAAGTAGATTTAGTAAAAACTCTTTTGCTTCTTTAGTAAGATACAATAAATATCTTCATTGTTATGCCAGGATTGCCAAGCGAGAGGATTTGTCAAGCGAGAGCGTTGCTCATAACCGATTGCTATAGCCAAGAAATGTTTTTCAACCGACTCCTAAAAAAGGAGGAGGTTCTCAATTCGACTCTATTTTTTTTGTGTGTTATCTCAGAACTTTTTCTAGGTGAACCGATTTAGATGATTCTTATTTTATTTCAAAGCTGGTGCTTCTCATGGGAATTTGATCAAGAACCCACAAAAATTTTATCAAGATCTGACTAGTAGTTTTTGAGTTTTCCTTAATAATGCGTATTTAATTGACTTCGACTACATTGATGATGTTCTCATTACATTTATATTGAAGTTGGTTGTACAAAATTTTTAATTTTACCACTTGTCCTACTATCCGTTGATAGTTGCACAAAGTTCAGCAAAAGAGTTATTCTCGACAGCTATTTGTTGAGCAACTTTGGAACACTTAAAACCAAAAATCACTTAAAACTCAAAATACATGAATGACTTAAAATTTATCATTAACTACTTATTGTTATACCTACAAGTTTATTAAACCAGAAGGTATTTTCGTTTCAAAAATATTTCTAATAATCTATACATCTATACAAATAAATAAAATTTAAGTGTCTGTTTGTAATGTTAAAATAACAGCTTTTTACTAAATGCATATGAATGTATATACGGTACTTAAAACAAAAACACAATTTTTAAAATTTTTGTCTGTCTGTCTGTCGGTCTGTCTGTCTGTCTGTTTGTTCCGGCTAATCTCCGAAACGGCTGCACCGATTTCGACAGGACTTTCACTGGCAGGTAGCTGATGTTCTAAGGAGTACCTTAGGCTACTTATATTTGAGAAAAAGAATTAGAGTTCTGAGCAATATAATTAAAACCCTAAATTACACGGGGGCGAAGTTAAGTCGCGGGGAACAGCTAGTTAATAAATAATATTTTTTAAACTGTCCTTTACGGTAGGATTGCTAACCGTCCGGTTTCCCGAGGACATGTCCTAGTTTTTGTAGTGTCCTGGGATGTCTTGGATAGTTTTTAAGCAGCTTCCTGGGTTTTTAAAGCGCCCTGATAGGAGATATAGATAGATAGAAGGTCATATGTTTTAAAATTCGCGCGCCACTTTTACAGTTACGGGCGACCTCAAGGCGTTTTTATTTTGTTATGTATGGTATTTGACCATACCGTATGGTTTGTATCTACTCACATAACACATGAAAAGCGAAAACGAACCGATATTTGCATACACAGTATACGTACATTCGCCACGTTGTCGGTTCGCAGTTATGTTTGACGAGGCCTTTACTGCGTCCTGTTTTTAAATTGAACTATTGTCCCGGTTTTCCTAACCCTACTTTACGGAAATCAAATAATGCAAATTAATGAGACTGATTAGACTGCACACAAGCTCGAAAAGGACGATATACCTACCTCTCTTTCTTATTTTAAAGATAACTTTAACTTTCTATATTCAGCTCTAGACCGTGAACCTCGTTCTGCTAATTTTCTCGAGATTCATACCCTACAATATAGCACCGGTTTCTTTAATTTTTCATTTACAGTTCATGAGTTCAGGCAATATTCCTCTGTAAAGCCCTACACGACAACATAAAAAAAAATGCGAGTCGGACTCGCGCACCGAGGGTTCCGAACAAATCTGTAGGTATATAAGTTTAAAATTATTAAAAATATTTTTATTAGGTACTAGCTGTTCCCCGTGACTTCGTTCGCATGTTAGGGTTTTTATGTTTCTGCGCGGAACCCTGATTCTTTTTCTAAAATAAAAGTAGCCTAAGTTACTCCTTATGAAATCAGCTATCTGCCAGTGAAAGTCCCGTCAAAATCGGTCCAGCGGTTTCGGAGATTACCCGGAACAAACAGACAGACAGACAGACAGACAAAAATTTTAAAAATTGTATTTTAGTTATAGGTATCGTATTTGCTTTAATATGCATTTAGTAAAAAACTGTAATTATGACATTACAAACAGACACTTCAATTTTATTTATTTGTATAGATATAGATATGATGTAGCTAAAAATTTATGCTTTTCGCAATTTTTCCTTTAGCTGTGCTATAAAACGTTGCTTCGTACCAAATTTCAAGATTCTGAGTTCATGGGAAGTACTCTGTAGGTTTTGATTCCCTTGCGAATGTCGAAAATTTACGGCATAAACGGCTGTATCTTTTGATTGCGTTGGCTTAGAAGTTTGATTTTTTCACAGCTCTAAGGGACAGTACTCGTAGACTTGAGTATTTGATATGAATTTCAGCTTGATACCTCCACGCGTTCCAGAGAAAAATGGTGTTGATAGACAGACAGACGGACAACAAAGTGATCCTATAAGGGTTCCGTTTTTTTCCTTTTGAGGTACGGAACCTACTTATCAGTTCAGTTCATCAGACATTAAAATAATTTAAACCTTTAAATCTCTTTGTCTGCAACCAACTTTAAAGCAAGAAGGCTAAAGATGTATTGTCACCTCTGAGGACCAAGGTGAAATGCATCACGTCTGCATGCCAATGTCTGTAATTATACTGGCTCTATACTCTTCAGACCGGGACTCAGTAGTACAGTACTGCTATTGACGGCGTTTAGTTTTATATATGTATATGTCAGTATGTAGGCCTGGGAAGATTTTGCCATAGCTGCTAAGATAGCAAGTGGGTTGCCAAGTGTGGCAACTATGGCAAAATCCTCCCATGAAACAAGACCTAAGTTCAGCATTGGACTTTTATAGGCTGTGATGGATGGATAAATATTCGCCTATGTATTTTGTCCATTTACATATAATAAATTAATTGTTAAGTTTTCAACTCCTGCCAACCTTTATTTCTTTTTTTTTTAAAAAAAACGTTATTTTCACACTAGGATTTTCTCCTGTATCATGGAGGCAATTTATATACATAAATTTCACTAGGACAAACGTCCAGACCGAGAGCAATTACTTGTAGACCATACAAAAACTTGTGTCGTGCAGGATTCGAACCCGCGGCTCTTAGCGCTGCAACTCGTTGCTAATTCACTGCGCCACGGAGCCGTCATTCTCTATTTATCTCGTGGTTTAGACATAAATAAATATACCTAATGTAATTAATTTTTAACACAATATGGAGTGATAGTATTTGTAAAAGTTCTAGACTGTGGTATTAGTGTATAGGTTATAGAGTTAAAGAGACCGTAAAAACTACTCGGCTACTAAGTTTACAACAAGAAAAAACATAAAAAAGATATTTCGTTCTGCTGAAATGGCAAATAGAGCACCTCAGTTTAAAAGGATTTTAAGAAATCTAAACAGAGCGTAAATCTGCAAGACACTTACCTACTTGCTGTTTATAACCTTGACCGACGCGAAACGTCGACATAGCGTACTATTATTTATTCTGTGACATGTAACTTATTTCATTTAGATTTTTTGTTAGAAGTAGGTACACTTCGGTGTATGCTTTTCTGTCACTTGCAACTTTTCCTAAAACTATTTTACTTATAAATTTGATATATAGCACAGAAACTAGGTTGTGATATCCCAATTTTGGTGTAAAGTATCCAAAGCAGAATTTAGATTTCTAAAGGTACAAATGGGAAAATTCGAGGGATCATTGTTTAGTGTCTCAAGTAAAGCCATTGAAGCACTAAAATCACGATATACCTTTAATCATTTATGAATATTTAAAGCATATAAACTGCGTGTAGGTACATGTGTGACTCAAATACTTAATTTAAAAACAATTGAAGTCAACAATAGACCGTCATTTATAACTTTTGAATTTAGAATATAGACTATAGACCGTGTAAAAAAAAAGTTTCAGTCACTAATCTTGAACCATGCAAGTTTAATTTTAACTCACAGTGACCATTTCATTAAAATGGCATTCTTTTACCCCTATTTTATGCCAAATCAAAGTAATAATTTATAAATATAAATAAAATTGAAGGATTTGTCTATTATATCGAACTACAACTAACTACCTTCTCGAGCTAAGGAATATTGGGTAAGATAATTGGATGTCATTAGGACATGAATAACAATTTTAAAATGTCTCTCTGCCCGGACTAATCTTCGGAATGATGACTACTTTTAAACTTTACGAACAGAT